AATCTCTCCTTTGATATCTTCCAGGAATTTTTTTATGTATTTGCGTGCTCCTGCATTGGGTGCATACATGTTTGTCAGGGTTATATCTTCTTGTTGTATTGATCCCTTTAGTATTATGAAGTGGTCTTCCTTATTTCTTGTTATGGCCTTCACTTTGAGGTCTATTTTGTCCAATGTAAGTATTGCTACCCCAGCTTTTTTTTCATTTCCATTTGCCTGAAAGATATTTTTCCATCCCTTCACTTTCAGTCTGTTTGAGTCCCTTCTTCTCAGGTGGGTCTCTTGTAGACAGCAAATGTATGGGTCATGTTTTTTTAATCCATTCAGCCACTCGATGTCTTTTGGTTGGAGCATTTAGTCTGTTTATGTTTAAAGTTATTATTGAAAGGTACTTGTTTGTAGCCATTTCTTTTTTTGTGTGGCTGTTTTCTTTCTGAGCTTTTTATTTCTTCTTTTTACACCAGTCCCTTTAGCATTTCTTGCAATGCTGGTTTGGTAGTGATAAACTCCCTTAACCTTTTTTTGTCTGTGAAGCTCCTTATTTCCCCTTCAATTTTGAATGATAGCCTTGCTGGATAGGGTATTCTTGAATTCAGTCGTTTGCTTTGCATCACTTTGTAAATTTCTGTCCATTCTTTTCTGGCCTGATGTGTTTCTGTTGAGAAATCATTTGATAATCTAATGGGAGATCCCTTGAATATAACTTTCCATCTCTCTCTTACAGCCTTTAAGAGTCTCTCTTTGTCCTGAACATTTGCCATGGTAATTATGATGTGTCTTGGTGTGGGTCTTTTCGGGTTCACCTTGTTTGGGACTCTCTGTGCTTGTGTGATTTTTTTTCTTCCCCACCTCTGGGATGTTTTCTGATATTATTTCTTCAAATAGGTTTTCTAACCCTTGTTCCTCTTTCTGTTGTTCTGGCACCCCTATTATTCATATGTTGTTTTGTTTCATCTTGTCCCATAGCTCCCTCCTGTCTTTTAATTTTTTTTTTCCAATTGCTGTTCAGTTTGGGTGTGTGTTTTTTTCCTTGTCTTCTAATTCGCTAATTCGGTCCTCTGCTTCTCCTAGTCTACTGTTGAAACTTTCCATGGTGTTTTTTTTGTTTGTTTGTTTGTTTTTAAAAAATATATTTTGTTGAGTTTTTACAGAGAGGAAAGGAGTGAGATAGAGAGTTAGAAACATCGATGAGAGAGAAACATCGACCAGCTGCCTCCTGCACACTCCCCACTGGAGATGTGCCCGCAACCAAGGTACATGCCCTTGACCGGAATTGAACCTGGGACCCTTCAGTCCGCAGGCTGACACTCTATCCTCTGAGCCAAACCGGTTTCGGCTCCATGGTGTTTTTTATTGCAGCTATATCACTCTTCATTTCTTCTTGCTTCTAACATAATTTATTGATTTTTTTCATCTGTTTCTTCTTGCTTCTTGCATAAGTTGTTGGTTTTTTTCCTCCATCCAGTTCATGCACTCTAGGACCCTTAATCTGAATTCTTTTTCTGTCATGTTGCATGCCTCTGTATCACTTAGCTGCTTTTCTGGTCAGTCCTCCTTTTCTTTCCTTTGGGGGTTTCTTTGTCTACCCATGTTTGATTGTACCGCCATATCTAGATGTTGAGTCGTTCAGTGGCTGCTCCTTGGGTGGCAGTGATTCCTCGGGCTGCGGTTGCTCCTCGGGCGGTTGTGGTAGCAGCTGCTCCTCAGTTGGTAGCAGCTCCTCTGGTGGGTGCTGTTCACAGTTGTGGTGGCTCCTCTGGCTGGTGGGGGGAGGCTTCACACACAGCTGCTGTTCCTCAGACAGAGTCAGATAAATTTTCTTATTTTGAAGTCTGTTCCGTCTGAAATTAATATAACTTCCGTGTTTTTTTGGTTAGTGTTGGCAGGGAATATTTTTCTCCACCCTTTTACTTTTAAATATAAGTATATTTAAAGTGGGTTTCTTGTAGGTAAAGTCTGATTTTTTTAAATCCATTTTGACAAATCAATCTTTTAATTGGTATATTTAGACCATTGGCATCAAAGTGATTATTTATATAGAGTTATATCTGTTATATTTATTACTGTTTTCTATTTGTTGCTTTGCTCTTCCTACTTTTATCTGCCTTCTGTGATTTTAATTGAGCAATTTGTATTATTTTCTCTTTTTTTAGTATATCAGTTATATATATATTTTAAAAACTTTGTTAGTGGTTGCCCTAGAGTGCAGTATACATTTACAACTAATACATATTCAAATACATTGTTGCTATTGTTATTTTGAACAGATTATTTGTTAGATCAGTTAGGAATAAGAAAAAAGTTTTTATTTTACTTATTCCTTATTTGATGGTCTTTCTTTCTTTATGTAGACCTGAATGTCTCTCGCAAGCACTCCTTTTAAACATTTCTTACAAGGCAGGTTGACTGGCAACAAATTTCCTTAATTTTTGTCTAAGAAAATAATTCTCCACTTTTGAAGCATAATTTCACAAGATATAGAATTCTAAGTTGGTTTTCTTTTTTTCCTCAACACTAAATATTTTACTTCACTCTCTTTTTGCTTGCAAGGTTTCTGAGGAGAAGTTGTTTGTAATTCCTACCTTTATTTCTTTATAGGTAAAGTGTTTTGCCCACCTCTGGCTTCTTTTAGGACTTTAAAAAATTATTTATTTTTCCATAGTTTGAAGTGATATGCCTTGGTTTGGGAGCATTTATCCTGCTTACTGTTCTGAACTTCCTGGATATGTGGTTTAGTTTCTGACATTAACTTATTATTGTTTCAAATATTTCTTCTGTTCCTTTCTCTCTTTTCCTTCTGGCATTCCTGAAATGTGTATGTTATACCTTCTGGGGTTTTCCCACAGTGCTTGGGTATTCTGTTCTAATTTTTTTTTTCAGTCTTTGTTCTCTTTTCTTTTTAGTTTTTTAAAGTTTCTGTTATGATATCTTCAAACTCAGCAGTTCTTTGTTCAGTCTACTGGTAATCCCATCAAATGCATTCTTCATTTCTGTTACAGTATTTTTGATATCTTTAGCATTTAGTTTTGGTGCTTTTATGGGATTTCCAACTCTGCTTACATTGCCCATCTGTTGTTGTTGTATACTGTCTACTTTATCCATTAGAATCCTTAACATGTTCATCATAGTTGTTTCATTCCTCTTTTGATAAAATTCCAACATCTCTGCGATGTCAGGTTCTGATGCTAGCTCTCTGTCTTTTTAGGTTGTGCTATTTGCCATTTGATATGCACAGTAAGTTTTTCTTGATAGCCAACATGATGTACAGTGTAAAAGGAATTGTTGTAAGTAAATAGGCTGTTTATAATATGGTGGTAAGGTATGGGGGAAGAGGAAATGTTCTATAGCCCTATGATTAGGTCTCAGTCTTTTCAGGGGCCTATGGTCCTGGACTATGAACTTCACAAGTATTTCTCAGTTTTTTTTCTCCCCCATTGTGTGGGTCAGGATGGCTAGAATGGGTTGGGGTTGGATATTTCCTTTACCCCAGATCATTTAAGCTCTGACAATACCCGATTACTTTAGGCTCTGCTTAATTAGTTTTCTTTAGACCAGGACAGAGTGCTTTGGTGTCTTTCAAATGATACCTTTTCCCCCCTCCCCCTGCCGAAAGTACAAGGAGATTTTTCTCTAACATTTTTCTCTAACATTTACTGTGGATCCTTGTCAAGTTTCTGATGATAAATCTCACAATATTGTGAGAGGGACCCACAACTTTTAAATATCAAAGTTGTATGTACTGAGCTTCCAGCAATTAGTCAATTACAGTTCAGGTTTTCCTACCCTTGCACTAGGTCCCACAGCAGTTATAGCTGATAAATCTCTGTTCATGTAAGCGGTGACTCCCAGTATTCACCTGTATCTTCAGTCTTGGAGAGAGTGGTACAGTGGGGCCTTGACTTACGAGTTTAATTCGTTCCGAGACCAAGCTTGTTAAGGAGCTCCTTAACTCAAATTACTCTATCAACTCAATGCAAAAAATCGGCCGAGAGACAGCTGGTATCTCAAAAAACTCGTTAGTCGGGACACTCTTAAGTCAAGGCCCCACTGTATATCCCTGGTCCACCCCTCTCTGACAGATCCAAAAAGTGTTACTCATTATTCAGTCATTTCAGCTCTTGTTGTTAGGATGGAGTGGTGACTTATAAGCTCCTTACATGCGGCTTTTCCTTTTAATTTATTTTTTAAATTACTTTATTGATTTTTAGAGAGAGAGAGAGAGAGAGAGAGATGTAAGAGCAATACATCAATATCTCGAATGCACCAGACGGTGGATGAAACCTGCAACCTAGGTATGTGCCCTGACCAGGAATCAAACCCTCAAAGTTTTGGTGTACGGGATGATGCACCAACCAACTGAGCCAGCCAGCCACGGCTGTATGAATTCTTTATACTGTATTTTAGATAATAGCCCCTTGGAAGTATTGTTTACAAATATCTTCTGCCCTATAGAGATCCCTGGAAACCTCTGTGGTGTAGGTAACAGAAAATAAAAACTAGGGCTTCACCACCACCTACTGGAAAACAAAAGGAAGACCTCTAGTTATCAACCAGCTAAACAGTGAGAGTCAAATACTTAAAATATTTCATGACCTGGCTTGGTGGCTCAGTTGGTTGGAGTGTCATCCTTTACATCAAAATTTTGAGGGTTTGATTCCCGGTCAGGGAACATACCTAGTTTGCATGTTTGATCCCCGGTGAGGGTGTGTACTGGAGGCAACCAATCGATGTTTCTCTCACATCAGTATTTCTCCCCCCCTTCCTCTCCCACTCCCTCCTTCCTCTCTTTCTCTAAAAATCAGTAAAATATATCCTTGGGTGAGGAGATAAATATATATATATATTTATGATATATATTTACCCTTGAAGTTGGATGGCTATAATTCAATAAAAGATTTTCTGCTCAACACACAAACACGTTTGAGAGATATGTGCATAATATCTCCTATATTAGGAGATAAATATATATATATTTATTTCATTTCCACAAATATCCAGACAGAGATTAATCCATCAATCCAAGGTGAGAAGGGAATTCAGAAAGAAAAGGAAAAATCTCAAGAAGGTGGATGTCCTCTTTATGACCCGATCTCCTTAGTCTCAGAGTACCACCTCCGTGGTGGGAAGTGGCAGGCTATGGGTTACCCGACCTGTGTGTTCCCTGTGCTGCCTTCCTGTAGCCAGAAGCACCTGCAGAGCCACTCCATCTGAGTTGACCCAGCGGCCTCTACCATGCTCTACCTCAATAGGTTAGGGAAGGTATGTGTGGTGGGGGAGGTTTTGCATATCTGCAGTTACGTTCTTTCTAGTGGGTTTAGCTGCAATGAGAACAGACTACTTAACGCTGGAAAGTTTTTTTCTGTCTTTTTACAGTCTTTCAAGTGAGGATTTTACTGCCAGGGAGCCACAGGAGAATATGATAGATAATTCCCAGGACTGCAGATTTCTTTGACCAGTAATGATAGGTGGTAGAATGCTGCCACCCTTTGCAGTACTTCTCTGCCCCTGACCCTGGGCTCAGCCTCAATGTGTGCCAACTGCCCAGGCCTGATTGCTGCCTCTGCCCTTCTGGTTTACCCAGTGGGGGTTGCACCTCTAGTGTTCACTGCTATTGCATCTTCTGGGGCAGCAGAGAACTCTGGAATGCATCTGTGGCTCTTGTCTCTGTCCTTTCCCTATCCTGTTGCCCTGTTCATTCCCACCTTCAGATATCTTAATGCACATATCTCTCAAACGTGTTTGTGTGTTGAGCAGAAAATCTTTTATTGAATTATAGCCATCCAACTTCAAGGGTAAAGACCTGAAGGTCTTCTCGTGCTGCCATGCTGCTGACATCTCAGAATCTCTGTTTTTGTGTTTTTGCTAATTCATTGGGATATTGTCCACGTAGTATCATGTGTTCTGCAAATAGAGCTATTTTGCTTTCAATTTGGATGCCTTTAATTTCCTTCTTGCCTAATTGTTCTAGCTAGAACTTCTAGTACAGTGTTGAATAGAAATGGTGAGAGTAGACCTGGTGGTTTTTCTCCAGATTTTATGTGGAAAGCTTTCAGTCTTTCACCACTGAAGTGTATTAGCTGTGGTGCCCTTTTATCATGCCAAGGAAGATCCCTCTATTCCTCGATTGTTGGATTTTTTTTTTTTTTTTTATCATGAAAGAGTGTTGGATTTTGTCACTTTTTTTTTCTGCATCAATCAAGATGAACATGTCACATTTTGCTTTTATTGTTAATGTGATGTGTTACATTATTTGACTTTTCTTCATACGTTGAACCACCCAAATATTCCTGAGATAAGCCCCACTTTGTCCTGGTGTGTAGTTCTCTTAACAAAGATTCAGTTTGCAGGTATTTTGTTGATGATTTTTGCATTTATATTCATAAGGGGTACTGGTCTGTAGCTTTTCTGTGATGCCTTTAGCTTGGGTATGAAGATAAATGCTGGCTTTTTTATAGATTGAATTAAGTGTTTCCTCCTCTTCTATATTTTGGATCAGTTTGGAAAACATTGGTGCCAGTTCTTAAATACTTGATAGAATTCATCAGTGAAGTATTCTATGCATGGACTCCCTTTAGTTTGGAGATTCTCGATTTGTGAATTTTTCAGCATTCCTTCTTTCATTTTCTTGTTGGCCATGTTGAATTTCTTTTCTAAAGTGTGCGTTCAACTCCTGGATATCAAAACCAGATAAGGACACTACAGGAAAGCTACAGGCCAATATTCCTGATGAGTATGGATATAAAATTTCTCAATAAAATACTAACAAACCAAATTCAACAGCACATTAAAAGGATCATACATTATGATCAAGTAGGATTCATCCCTGGATGCAAAGATGGTTCAACATATGCAAATCAGTAAGTGTGATACATCACATTAATAGAATGTGAAATAAAAATTAAAGTCATCTCAGTAGAAAAAGCATTTAACAAAAAACATTCTTTCATGATAAAAATTCTCAACAAATTAGGTATAGAAGGAATATGCTTCAACATAATAAAGGCCATCTATATATGCAAGCTAGCATCATACTCAATGGTGAAAGGTTGAAAGCTTTTCCGGTAAAATTAGGAAGAAGACGGATGTGCACTCTCACCATTCCTATTCAACATAGTACTAGAAATCCTAGCAGAGGAGTCAGGCAAGAAAAACATAAAACATATCCAAATCCAAAAGAAATAAGCAAAATTGTCTGTTTGCAGGTTTCATAATCTTATATATTGAAAGCCCTAAAGATCCCACCAAAAAAAATTGTTAGAATAGCTATCCAGCTGCCATGAAAGGGAATTTGGCTTACTTTATTGCATTAGTTAGTTATTGCTGTGTAACAAATAACCCCAAAACTTTGTGACTTGAAACAATAAACATTTATTATTTTTACCATTTCTTTGGATCAAAATTTGAAAGCAGCTTAGCAGTGTGATTCTGGCTTAGGATCTCCTAGGAAGTTGCTCCCAGACTGTCAGCCAGGGTGCAGTCAGTCCTATGAAGGCTTGATTGGGGCTGAAGGATTCACTTTTAAAATGACTCCCTTATAAGGCTTTGAGTAAATGCCTCATTTCTTTGCCAAGTGGACCTCTTTAAAGAGCATCTTGAGAATCCTTTATGACATGGTAACTACTGTAGCTTCCTCCAGTGCTGATGACCCATGATAGGAAAGTCACAATGCCTTTTATGACATAGTCACACATTGTCATTTCTGCCAGGCTTTGTGGTGGAAGTTGCTAAGCGCAAGGAAAGGGAAATCAGGCTCCACCTGTTGAAGGGAGGAGAATCAAACTGTGAATATCACTAACAGACCAAGTTGGGGTAAGCAGTGGATGAGACTCAAGAATACCTCTAGACAGTGGCTTTCTAGATTGCTTCGTTAAATTGTTAATGATGTTAAGTTATTGTTAAGACTTGAACTGTTATTGAGAGCCTTGGCCGGCCCTCACAGCCCCTCGGAGCTTCGGCAGGTCCTCGTAGCCCCTCACAGCCTGGGCTGGCCCTCGCAGCCCCTGCTTCGTCTAGAAAGTCATCCAGACAGTTGTCCAGAAGGTCGTTCTGCTGTTTGGTCTAATTAGCATATTAGTTCTTTATTATATAGGATATACTTACATAACATTGTTCCCCCCCTACTACTTAGGGCATCTTAAAATTCATGTACTGGAAGGAAAACAAATGATAAAAATCCAACTAAAATGTGTGAATAATCCTTAACTTTTTGCTGAAGCTTTGTTTTGGAGATGGTTGTTTGAAATAAAGCAGTCATTAATCAGATGCTGGGGAATAGAAAGAAGGCTAAGTAAATTTAGTCAAAGTATGAGTTATATAATGTCTTTAGAACATCCAATTTGGGGTTAACTTTTATTTTTGATATAATTTTAAAAAGAGAAAAGTTAAAATAATAGTATAAGGTACTTTTATATATATTTTATCCAGATTCACTAGAGTTTTTTTTATGACATTTGCCTTACCATCCTTCTGTTCTAAATAAAACCACCAGTGATGTGTGATAGGTTTTTTTTGTTTTGTTTTGTTTTTCTCTCATTGCAATGAAAGAGATTGCAGACCAGAAGAACCACAGGGCTTCTAACCAAAGGGTATGTAAATGGTTGAGCACTGTACTGGAATTAGAATGTGACTATAGAAGTCATATGCTTGCAGTTCTATATAGAATGCCTACAAATATAACAGCCACAAATATAGTCGGATGAAGAATTGTTTTTCAGGCTACTTAAATATGAATAGCATTGCTGTTGATGATGTGATTTTTTTTTTCCCTAAACAATAAACAAATCTTGGTAAAGTTATGAACAAAAATAACATACAAGTTTCCTTGACTTTACATAGGAGTAGTAGTTTGGAAATATTCGTTTTCTCCTAAAATAGCAAGAAAAAAAAAGATGATATTTATAAATAATGGAAAGATTCATTTTGTCCTAAAGTAGCAGGGGGGGAAAAGTCTATATGTAAAATGGCTCAGGTTCTGGGTTAATGTAATTATAGATAGGTTTGAGGGTTTTTTGGTTTGTTTCTTTGTTTTGTTTTAACCTACCTGAATCCTGAATATCCATCTGGAAATTCAAAAGTTTAGACCAGGATTTTTTCAGTCATTATGCCGTGGCACACTGGTATGCCGAAGAATTTTTAAAACGTGCAATACCTGACTAGTCAGGGTCACTGACCTCTTCTCCTTAGATTGTCAAATAAAAAAATGACAAGGACCAAGACAATAATAACTGTTGGCGTGAATGAATCAAAATTATATCTGTTTTGTCATATTGGCAAAAAATATTACGGTTTTTTTGTGTGCTGAAGAATTTAGTAAAAAATCCTTGAAAATCGCTGGTCTAGAATGTTCTTTGTTGTGTAGGACTGTTGGGTGCATTGCAGGATATCTTGAAATCCTGGCCCCTATCCTCTAAATACAAGTAGTTATCTTAATCTTTTGATAACAACAAAACATTCCCTCCAATTTTAACAATGCCCACCACCTTTTGTCCAGAACTATTAGTCTTAGTTGTATAAAAGGTGAGGAAGTCATGTATTAGAGTATGAAATAATATGCAACTTATTTGTAATTATGCATTGACTAAATTTAAAATGGATAATTTGAAACTTTTAAAATTAAGCTGGCTGTATTATATGTTCTTATTTTTCCTAGTAAAATGAATGAAAATAAACCAAGTGACTCACGGACTCTTGGTAAGTAACAGTATTTAAAATATTTTCAAATATAATTTAAAATATTTTACTCATGCTTTTTTATAATAAATCTCTTCAAAATGCTACTCAAACTATAGAAATGAATTTCCCGATTCATGCTTGCTTCATATAGTCATGTATTAAGGTATAACATTGTGTGTGTATTCATTTCAACAAAAATCTGCTATAGAAAGAAAATTTGCTATATTTTATTTGTATTCTCTATATGTATTTATCAGGCATTGTTTATATCTTAATAAAATTATTTATTTAATAAATAAATTTTTTCACATTCTTTTACAAAAGGAAAAATGTAGGTGAGAACGATTTAAACAAAACATGAAAGTTTAACATGAAAAGCAAAAGTTAAGTTTTAATGGTCACAACAGTCTCCTCAAATAGATACAGACCTTTGCTTTTAGTTGTTTTTTCTTCATTTATATATTGAACTTAAACAGTATTTATTGACTTGTTACCATGGAAAATGAAAAATTTAAACTGTTACTTTATTTATTTAAATATATGTTATTGATTTTTTACAGAGAGGAAGGGAGAGGGAGAGGGATAGAGAATTAGAAACATCAGTGAGAGAGAAACATCGATTCAGCTGCCTCCTGCACACTTCCTATCTGGGATGTGCCCACAACCAAGGTACATGCCCTTGACTGGAATTGAAACTGGGACCCTTCAGTCTGCAGGCCAACGCTCTATCCACTGAGCCAAACCAGTTAGGGCTAAACTGTTACTTTATACTCTTCTGCTACCACTCCTCCTCTCATCTATCCTTTTATAGATTTATTTTGTTTTAAATATATTTTTATTGATTTCAGAGAGGAAGGGTGAAGGAGAGAGAGACAGAAACATCAATGATGGGAGAGAATTATTGATCATCTGCCTCCTGCATGACCCCTACTGGGGATCAAGCCCACAACCCAGGCTTGTGCCTGACCTAGAATCAAACTGTGATCTGGTTCATAGGTCGGCACTCAACCACACCGGCCAGGCTATAGATTTATTTTTTTATTCCCTTTCAATTTAACATATTACACTTAGAACGCTATGGCTTGCCTATCCTTTGTAGAGAGTATCTGTGGACTCCACATCATGTTGGATAAGGAAATTTGTGTTCTTAAACTTCCCTCTGCTTTCCTGATTTTACTTATAGACTTCTATATCAACTGTGCTAATAGTTCTGAAACTTAGTAATTCATAGAGTACCTTCATATATTTGCCAGATGTAAATACTACCTATTCTGTTATTAGTGAATCTTTTTGCTAGGATTGACTCAATTTTATATATGTATATCCTATATAATAAAAGGCTAATATACAAATCAAATGAACAGCAGAACAACCGGTCGCTATGACACACACTGACCACCAGGGGGCAGATGCTCAATGCAGGAGGTGTCCCCTGATGGTCAGTGTGCTCCCACAGGGGGAGCGCTGCTCAGCCAGAAGTTAGGCTCACAGCTGGCTAGCCCAGCAATGATTGTGGAGCCTCTCCCGCCTACGCTGCAGTCCTAAGGATGTCTAGCTGATGGCTTAGGCCCGCTCCTTATGGGGAGCGTGCCTAAGCCATCAGTCGGACATCCCCTGAGGGCTCCTGGATTGCAAGAGGATGCAGTCTGGGCTGAGGGACCCGTCCCTGTGCCCCCAGTGCATGAATTTCGTGCATTGGGCCTCTGGTATATATATATATATATAAATGTGTTTATTTCATTATCTACACTAATGAAAGAGAAAGATGTAAATTGACCATCCCTTCATGATGCCCACCAGCCAATCAGGAGTGGGTATGCAAATTAACCCAACAAAGCTGGCAGGCCTGTGGGCAGTGCGCATGCATGCAGACTCCAAGCTCCTGGGGGCAGGGCAGGATGCTTGTGTCGTTGCCATGGCGACAACGCAGGCATTCCGCACCACCCCAGCCGCTCTGGGCCTCTGGGCAGTGTGGGAAGGTGGAAAGGTGGCTCTGGGCCAGAGTGAAGGAGGAAAGGCAGCTCCGGCCGGAGCGAAGGCAGTGCCGGCAGCCAGGGGAAGGAAGGCCTATTCTTTTTTTTTTTTTTTTTTTTTTAAATATATTTTATTGATCTTTTTACAGAGAGGAAGGGAGAAGGTTAGAGAGTTAGAAACATTGATGAGAGAGAAACATCAATCAGCTGGGAAGGCCTATTCTTGTAGGAATCTTTGTGCATCGGGCCTCTAGTTATGAAATAATATCATTTGCTATAGTAGAAGATGATCTTACATACAATGAAGTCAGAACAATTTTACTGAATTCTAAACATTAAAATTAAAAAACAAGTACAAATAAAAACAAAAGTAATCTATTTATAAAAACCATGCCGAAAACCTATCCTGTCCTGTATTCAGGGTCTGCATACTGGGTGGAGGCAGGAGGGGAACAAATTGAAAGCTGCAGGCTCACAGTATATAGCAGATGCAGCTTCAGCTAAGCATATATCATGAGGACTCCTCTTTTGTAGTGTAAGCTAATTCCTTGTGTTTCTTTTTCTCTTGATAGCTGCATGCCCACTTACAGTAAAAGTGTAGGCACTAGGGCTGAAGACATTAAGGTGGGAGCTGCTGTTGTAAAATGTCCAATAAACAAATGGCAATTTGCTGGAGTTAATATGATCAGTTACTTTATATGGGGGAAGGCAGGGGAGCTAGACTCTTAAAAGATTGGAGGAAGAGGCTTTTAGGTATGGCTCATTAAACTGGAGTGAGGAAGGTAAATATAGAGGGGATATTTTGCAGTATAATATTGGAATCTATTTTGTGACTAGCCTAGATAACAAATATAGAGCACCTTTTTAACATATAACATTCATTGTTGATTAGTTAAGGCAGGGATAGGGAACATCCAGCCCATTGTCCCTGTAAGGCCTGCGAAATCATTTGGTCTGGCCCTGCCAAGACATTATGGGTGAGTTAATTAAATGTTTAACCAAATATAGCAGGCTAATTTTGCATGGTCTGGGAATAATGTTATAAATATCCAGCTCACCCTTGGCCGAAAAAAGGTTCCCCATCCCTGAGTTAAGGTAAATAAGACTAGCTGCTAGTGTTATAGGTGATCCCTAAAGTCTTAATGGTTTAACACAATAAAAATTTATTATATGCTCATGTTATAGTCCAGTGTGGATTATTTAGTGGAGGTGGGGCAGACAGGGAGTTTCAGCTCTATGCACTCATTTAGAGAGTCAAGCTCCTTCCATCTTGTATTGATCTACCACCTTGAGATTCTCGGAGGCTTTTCTCTTCAGCTAGTGATTTTCTTATTGTTTTATTAGTATGTTTTTGTTTTGTTTTGTTTTGTTTTCAGTTGATCAGCAGCCTAGCCAGGATCTCTAGCCCAGTTCTGGTTTGGATCTCCAGCCAAGTTCTGATTTTTTATTGTCTTGTTACATCTGTATTTATACCAGTTGATTTTAATCCTGTCAATTTCTATTGCAAAGGTTAGGGCGTTTCTTATCTCCATTCCAGGGAGTAAAGATTATGTAGCTTAAGCTTGATTGTTCATAGTTAAACTGATTAACTACCCGCCTGGCACTTAGTTAAGGGGTTTTATTCCCTCCCTAACTTCAGGGGAAAATCCCTACCTGGGGAAACAACCTTTCTCGGATAGGTGACCGTGGTTAAAACACGTAGCGCTAAGGGGAGCAAACATATTAAGAACAGTATGCTATATACGCCAGGTCCCTTGAAACATATGCTGTGCAGATGTTTCTTTTCTGCAGCGACTGTGTCAAGCAGCAAAGATGGACCGGCTTCCGGCACACTGGGTTCACTCAGGCTAAGGCTTCGAATGCATTAATGACTTTACTGAACTACTACTCAGTTCAAAAGATCAGCAATGTCTCAGAGCATGACTAGCTGTGAGGGGAAGGAAAAGAGAACATTTGTTACCAATGACAACTTTTGTAAATGATTACGTTTTTTAAAGATGAATTAAGATTAGACCTATAAAAATGTCATCATTCATTTACCTTATGGCAATGCATTTTGAGTGGGAAACAGAGAGAAGTGGCATGTGTAGCACATATAATCTGGAATAAATACCCTCAGAGGAGGGTGATGTGCATGTAAATGTTATAAAACAGCTGAGAAGTAGCAGAAAAGTTAGTATCCGCTGAACCTGTCATGGCTTAGGTTTCTGAGTGCTGGTTCCTCATTGCGGCTGTCTGAGAAGCTCGTTTTATTAGTATGTTATTATAAATTTTCTATATAAGTAAACATCATGAGATATGAAAGATTGATAATAGTTATACTAACTCTTCCTGAACAGTTCTATGTGCCACGCCCTTTTAATTATATTACTATATGCTATATCATTGAATCCTCATTAAGACACAGTTTGAGGTTGGTACTGTGGTCCTCATTTTTAAGAGGAGGAAACAGAGGGAATGCAGGAGAGAGTGGGGAGGGGGAAGAGATCAACCAATGAACTCATATGCATAACCCATAGACCCAGACAATAGGATGGTGACGGTTGGGGGCGAGGGATGTTGGAGAGGGCAATGGGGGAAAAAGGGGCCATATGTAATACTTTCAATGATAAAAATTTATTTTAAAAAAAGGAGGAAACAGAGCAAAAAGTGTTTATGTGACCTGTCCAGGGTTATACAGTGAGAATGTAGATCTGAGTCCTAACTCACATGTCCCTGACTCTACAGTTTGCCTTTTTTAAAAAAAATATATTTTATTGATTTTTTACAGAGAGGAAGGGAAAGGGATAGAAAATTGGAAACATTGATCAGCTGCCTCCTGCACACTCCCCACTGGGGATGTGCCCGCAACCAAGGTACATGCCCTTGACCGGAATCGAACCTGGGACCCTTGAGTCCGCAGGCTGACGCTCTATCCACTGAGCCAAACTGGTTAGGGCTACAGTTTGCCTTTTTAAGATTATTTTTATTTATTTATGTATTTACTTTAGTCTTTGTCTCGCTAATATTTATTGGAAATCAGAACTGTGCACTGAAGGAATGTAG